AGAGGATCGAGATTCTGACTTCAACTTAGCATAAATAATAACTGTACTTAAATATATTATATTTTTTACGATTTTAAGTAGTTTAGCACAGAATCAAAACGCCCAACAACTGCTGAATTCAGAGTAAAATCCGCAACGATCTAGCATTTCAAAATCCGCTGCATCTGGAGTAGGTCAAAGTAAAAGACTGCATTCATTTGGAAGACGAGCCAAAACTTTTATAGAGTTCGTGGTCCGATCTGAGAAAGTTCACGACAGAGTGGAAATGCTATACTGGAGAATTTTCTGATTCAGTAATAAACTATTTTAACCATGAAATAAAACCACATTTAAATACAATGAATATTTCTAAACTTTAATTGAAAAGCAGGGCTTCGTCCTATCGATACTACTTTCAAAAGAACACCCACTTCTTTCAAAAACTTCGGGAACATAAAGAAATGATTCTATTTTTTATGTTCAGTAAGTCCTTTCGCTACTGAACAGTCGCAACAGCAATATTTATTCTCAACATGAATGATGATCATCTGACGAAGTGTGGCAATGAGCACCAGATCTGTAACACTCACGCTAGAAACTTCTTGTAAAATATGAGTTACATTCTGCAGTTATATCAAATAGCATGACAAGCATATTTTGGAAAATCTTACGCTTACCAGCAGCAAAAACTTTCAGAATTTCGTCCATGTAATCAAGCATTTCAACGGACAACTGAAACCAGTCGTTAGGGTCTGCTTGTCCAATTCGCTCAAACTCTTCAGTGCTAAGCTGCAGATTACCCGGTATGTTTGGATTCTACAAACACAGCTGCAAATGTATGAAAATCTTGAGCTTATAGCATATGCCTCTAGATCTGTTTATTATGCATTGATTTCAATGAGCAAATGGGATTGGGACTACGAGCAGACAAAAAGCCAGTTTTTGGAAAAGACACAGTCAAATAATACCAGAATCGACATCTATACTGCTAAAATAATGGTCTGCAAAATTAATGGCAGATGTTTCTAGATGTAAAAATCAATATCAAACTATAGGCAAGAACTGAACTCGATAAAGATCGATTCTATTGATTACTTGATATTTTTGAATGAATCTTTCGAAGAAAACTGCATGCGCGAACGTTTAAACACCTCTGACTACTCAACTGATAAGTGGTAAAAACTGGTTGTTAGCCCATTATAAATCCACTATTAGCCATAAGCCCACTATTAGCTTATAAACTTTTTCTCTTTCTTATAGATTAGACTACAGGTCAAAATTAAGCAGTCAAATTACGTGACTGGTAAACAACAATAAATGAATAATTGGTTTAGTTTTCTCGCTAGAATTGCGCTGAAACTTTTATTAGGTAGGGGAATATATTGTGTAGTTTACTGAACGTCAGGGTGAATAGTCTTCAGGGGATTTTTTTTAAATGTTTTGGCGACGGGACTACTGATTTTGAATTGGGAACAGGTCCACCAGCTGATTTTAGTCAATTCCAGTTACGACGAGACCAACAGAACAGCTATACGAAGTACCATACAGCCTCTGTTCGACAATTCGAGTATGAGGAGAGATAGTTACAAGCTACAGGTATGGCATGTTACTAGCATAAGCCATTAAAACTTCAGATACAGACAACTCGTTCCTTACCCGACGATGAAATTCCAGCTTCATATCCAATAAAGAACAGTAGCGTTCAATCAGTTGGCCATATCCTTCACTCAAATGACCCTAAAACTTTAAAGTCATACAAATCAAAACTATCAATCATAAAACTCAATGTCTCTGACAGGCAATACGAAACATTTAACTTTCAATACTTTCGCTGGGGTAAGTACACTTACAAGAAAAGCTTCATACAATTTAAAAAATTCTTTCAGGTCGTCATAAACAAATTGTTCAAAATTTGATCTTCCCATAAAGTACGTCAAATGAATCATGTGGTTAACATGCGCCATGACCAAGTTAAGGAGCAAACAAAACAAAACAAAATAAGGCACTATATTTTTGAAAACAGCACAAAACACGGTTTATTTATACACAACACAGAATACAAATAATATAAGCAATCGGACAATTTACCAGTACCGACATTCAGCCCGCGTCTCGAGGACCTTCTTTAACGTAAAAACGTTGGCATACTTAGAAAGTTTCCTTTGTCGCTCACA